TTTTTTGTGATCATTTCTGTTTCTTCATTGTGAAAATCAATGACGACGCAACTAATTTAGTAATTTGATTTTCCCTCAAAGACGTAATTTGTCACTTGATGAATCAAAATTTTCATTTGCACTTTTTTTCGAGGGGGTTGCTCAGGTAAGCGCCCACCCCTTGAGTTGAGGCCCCTGGGCGCTAACGCGGTCAAGTACGGTATATTCATACAATATCTCAATTAGAGTTTATTAAACTCACCTCAGATTCTATTTGTTTGTTTGTGAGTTTCTCCAATTCTACAGTTGCTTCATCCATCTGTTGTTTGTAGGAATTAATCTCATCTTTCAATGATTTCTCATTAACTTCAAACATCATGACTTGCTCACACATCTTCAGATTCTTTGATAGCTCTTCTTCGAGGTCAGATTGCAAAGTTTGCTGTTGTTGAACCATAAATTCCATTTCAGAAACCTAGTATTAACAATAAAGGACATAGAGTCAAATTACACGGTGAAGCTTGGTAAATTTCCACATTGTAAAAATTGTAACAAGCAGCCTGTCGGCTGAGATAGCTCCGCTGTTAGCAATGCACATTTCAATTAAAGAACAGAAGATATCATTAGAAAATGAACATGTATAGTATCAAAGCAATCGGATGTGCTGTTTTCAATAAGAAGTCAAAATTATCACTTTTTACCAAAAAAGACATAATTATTCATTAAAATTAGAGAATTTAAGATATCATCATGAAATGAACAAATCTAAGAGAGGTCTACCCAAGGTACATATACACTAAGAATCAAAGCATTCAGGCTTGCAGTTATCAAGAAGAAGTCGAAAAAGTTTATATGAACAACGGACAATCACTCATATGATAAGCTCTGCTCGACAAAGTCGACATCGAAGCTAAAAAGTTCAGTGGGGTGTTTACAGTGGATGTAAGAAAACTACAAAACCTATATTGTATATTACTGCTGGTGAACAACTGAACTTAAAGTTGGCCCAATCGATGTAGACAAATTGTACACCATCACATAAGCAAAATTTAATATGTAATTTGTTCATTTCAACAGGGGAAATATACAAGTACACACACATACAGCAGAATTGAGAAACTGACATGAAAACTAAAACTTACCATGTCTTGTTGCGCTTCCTTCAACTCCTTTATTTTGTTTTTACTCTCTTCCAACATATCTTGATGTTGTAACAGATCATCCTGCACGACAATCGCTTCATTGATGTTGTCATTTAAATCAGATTTCAGTTCATCTCGTTCTTCTGTCAAGCTCGCCAGCTCTTCTTTGACAGTCATCAATTGATCCATCAGGTTCTCTTTTTCTGACTGAAGCATCCTTAGTTTTGTAGACAAGTCTTCCTTTTCGGTTTCTAACGCTGCTTTTTCAGATCTTGCATCCCTGAGGGCTTCTTTAACTTCAGCTAAGCTCTGTAACAAGGCTGAATACTTTGAGTCTAGTTCAGTATTGTCGGACGATTGCAGAATTTCTAATTCTTGAATTTTTATAATCATTTCTAGTCTCTCTGTATTTAGCTGTTCAATTTCGGACTGAGCAGTTTTCTGTGCTCTTTCCAGACATTGTACTTTCTCTACCAAGGCATCTCTCTCGCTACACACAACCTGAAGTTTCGACACCAACAATTCAGAAGAAGATTTTTGAAAATCACTTAACATTGCGACCAAGTTTTCTTTTTCAATATTCAATTCCTCAACCTGTGAACTTAAATCATCCTTTTCGTTCACTAAGTTCTTCAATTTATCGATCATTTCAGCTTTTTCCATCATCAAAGTCTGGCTCTCCTCCATATTTTCAGATTTCTGGATTTCTCCAAGTTCTACCATACTACTCGTAAGTGTTTCCTTTTCAGTTATCAAGTCACCAACTTGATTACTTAGAATATCACGTTCATTTTCAAGCTCCAATATTTTTGATTTCAAAACTTCAATCTCCTGAGACTGTTCATCAATGTTATTTTCTGCATTTAATGAGAGCAGTCTGTCTTCAAGACTTTTCATTTTCAAAAGCAAGTTCTCTTTCTCCGATTCCAACACCATACATTTTTGGTTACTCTCGACATGCCAATTCTGTTCAGCTTCCAAATCAGATACTATCGAGTCCCTTAAGGCTTCAAGTTTTGACGTAGTTTTCAAATGCTCTTCTATTTTAGAATTCAAACTTTCTTTCTCTGCTTTTAGGATGAGACACTGCTCTACAACTTCATCTTTCTCCTTCTCCATGGCTTGTAAATCTTTTTTCAAGGCCTCTAGGTTGGATGTAGCTTCCAAACGCTCCTCTATTTTCGCATTCAAACTTTCTTTCTCTGCTTTTAGGATGAGACACTGCTCTACAACTTCATCTTTCTCCTTCTTTATGGCTTGTAAATCTTTTCTTAAGACCTCTAGGTTGGATGTAGCTTCCAAACGCTCTTCTATTTTCGCATTCAAACTTTCTTTCTCTGCTTTTAGGATGAGACACTGCTCTACAACTTCAGCCTTCTCCTTCTCCATGGCTTGTAAATCTTTTGTTAAGGCCTCTAGGTTGGATGTAGCTTTCAAAAGCTCCTCTATTTTCGCATTCAAATTTTCTTTCTCTGCTCTCAGAATGAGACACTGCTCTTCAGCCTCAGCCTTCTCTTTCTCCATGGCTTGTAAATCTTTTGATAAGGCCTCTAGGTTGGATGTAGCTTTCAAAAGCTCCTCTATTTTAGAATTCAAACTATCTTTCTCTGCTCTCAGGATGAGACACTGCTCTTCAGCCTCAGCCTTCTCCTTCTCCATGGCTTGTAAATCTTTTGTTAAGGCCTCTAGGTTGGATGTAGCTTTCAAAAGCTCCTCTATTTTCGCATTCAAACTTTCTTTCTCTGCTTTTAGGATGAGACACTGCTCTTCAGCTTCATCTTTCTCCTTCTCCATGGCGTGTAAATCTTTTAAGACCTCTAGCTCGGAAGTAGTTTTCAAAAGCTCCTCTATTTTCGCATTCAAACTTTCTCTCTCTGCTTTCAGGATGAGACACTGCTCTTCAGCCTCACCCTTCTCCTTCTCCATGGCTTGTAAATCTTTTGTTAAGGCCTCTCGATGTGTTTCGATCTCTGTCAGTTTTAGAGACAAATTCTGCCTTTCAGCTTCCAGTTCTCCAATCGTCTCCGAGTGCCTCTTCACCTCAGTCTCCAACTGTTCAATTTTCTCTTTACCAGAACTACTCAACTGGTCCACAGATACCACTTCTTCCCCTTTAAGTTGGGATATTTCAGAGAATGTACATTGTAAATCTTCTCTCAGCTGCTTCGACAACGAGTTGTGTCTTTTCTGCTGCATTTCAATATGAAATTCAAAGTCTGACTTTTCAGTTTCCAGTTGTTTCACTTGTTTCTGTAGTTTCTCCTGAAAAAACAAAACAAAAATTAGGAAAATTCATGGGACAATTTATGCAGCATATAGACATGACATGGTCCTCGATATCTGAATAGATATTCACATTTCCATGATTTGTATGGCGTTATTTGACTACTTTTCATATGGCTAAAAAACCATTAGTTCATATGAGAAAAAAATTCATATCTAAAAATATTTTGTGACATAAAAAACAGTAATGTTTTTTTACGATGGGTAATTCTGATTGTCACGAATTAGAATTTCTGGTGAATACTATTCATGAAATAAATGCTTTATGGATTTCCGTGACAACCTTAACAACCCAGCATCTTAATGTCAATCTACTGGTAGATGCAGATGAACAATGCTCTCATTTTACAACATGCTCTAATTGGTCAGTTTTTTTTTAAGAATATTGAAATCATTTCCTAGGTTTCGAGTGCAGTGACGTATATTCTACAGTTTTTGCATGTCCCTTTACAACACAGTGGATATTACCACCATTATTATTGTTAATTAACAAAACACTTATTAATTTAAGAAGAGTTCCCGGTCTTCAAGTTAATTGAATCTTTATGTAAATAGATATTGCATATTTATAGTTAAAGCGCGGTGGTCGTCGCGCCACGTTTTGTTCGATATGGGACTCATAGGGACGTATACAACACATGTAAAATACATTGTTTATTTCCATGAAATTCAAACACGCGCTGCACGACGACCACCGTGCTTTAAGATGTTTTCTCATCTGTAAGTAACTGCCATCTGGCACTATTGGCGGGTAAATTTATTTTCCATTCTTGATTGTCATTAGTTTTTCCCTCCCTATATACGTACACCAAACAGGCTGTGGCAAAATGCACCCAGGCCTGTATGTAGGAACTATAATGTATGAATTCTATATTCATGAAATCAAACGACATTTAATTAATAACAAGGTTGCTGATAGTCTGTTTTAACATGTACACATAGCTACTGAATACTACAAGGTAGGATATTTAGGCACTGTTTCCGTGATAACCTGCTAGTGCACCAAAAATGCAGAAATTTTTACAACAAATATCCAAACAAGATTGCAGCAAGTCAACCATACTATTAAACAAATAAAATGGCATTGGAGAGGTTTCATTCCTCCATTTTTTTATCCTGTGTAATTTATGCATGTTACAATTCACGCAAGATTGAAGTATAAATGGTAATTACCAACTTTTCTTTCAAGGCTTCACTTTCAGTAACCTTCTGTGAGAGCTTTTTGTTGGTATCCATGGCAACCTGTTCAGCATCGCTACAACTTTTCCTCAATGATTCCACTGTCTGAACAATATTTGCATCGCCGGCGATCTTCAGAGAGAAATGATATGTGCATGTAATAAAGCCATCAGTTTTATCACAAAATAGGTTTTTATTCTATGTAATACAAAATGGGCCAAAATGACCAATCAAAGGAACTGTTACCAACGGCATAATAGTTGTGTCGTAACTATGACTGGTAGGCCACAAGTTCAAGTCACACTCGTGGTTGAACCAAATAGGCATCAGCTCCATCCTATGGCAATTATACCAAAGACTCAATAGAAAGCCCATAGTCAGAAAAGTCAAAAGTAGTTGAAGTGGTAGTTGTGTTTGAATACATACATTGCTTATGGAACACATATCGAACAGAACACGATAACTGCATCTTTTTAAGGCCTGTAAGTGACATAGGTAATGTGCCAGACACTAGTGATACTTAAGCTACCGGTAACATCAATATTTAATCTTTT